TCTCTCCCCCTCTGTCCTTCTCCCTCCTACTTCGTCACTCCGTGGTACCGGCTCTGCGGCTATGGCCGCTGTCTTTCTTCTTCGTGGACTGCGCGGCAACCTTACAGGTACCTAACAGCCAATCTTGTATCGCTCATCTCTCTCTCTCTCTCTCTCTCTCACCGTAGCGGTATCTTCAGCGCAGCAGGTACGTGTAACCCAACCTTGTATCTCTCATCTCTTTCTCTCTCTATCCTCTTCGGAGCCGTCCGTGCACTGCTTCACGCCGTCGCACCTTGCGAACCAAACCCAAGTGCACATCTTGCCGCTCGGACACGCGGAAACGCCATACTCTCCGCAAGCAGACGCGTCGCACCCCTTTTCGTCCGTTCCCCCTGGGCAATCTTCCACTCCGTCGCACATCTGACTGGACAGGATGCAGGTGCGGTTACTCCCGCCTGCGCATTTGACTCGACCGTAGGCACAGTCCATCTTCTCGCAGAACTCCCCCTCGTCATCGCTGCCGGGGCAATCCTTCTTACCGTCGCACACGCGATCGCGACTGATGCATCTGCCGCTTCCGCATTGAAACAAGCCGGAGAGAATAGAAGGGGAGCATCCGCGCTTCTTGCAGTACTTGTCGCCCTCATCGCTTCCGCCGTCGCCAACGCAATCGACAACTCCATCGCACAGCCTTGCCTCTGTTCACACACCCGCCCTTTCCGCTGGGACACCTCCGCCTGTGCGGTGGCGGCGGAGGAGCAGGTACCAGCTGCCGCAGTGGCTTGTGCGGCACGTCGGTGTTGCAATCATACGAAGCGCAGAAGCTGGGGTCTTCGTCGGACCCATCCGCGCAGTCCTTCACGCGGTCGCACAGGTACTCCGTGTAGTGAGTGTACCGCAAGTCACCGAAGCTTGTGGTTACGTTCATACGCATCCGTCCACTGGGACACGTGTACCGGCCCGTAGCTGCACAATCGAAGGACTTGCAGCGGTGGCCCTCGTCCGACCCATCCGCGCAGTCCTTGATACCGTTGCACTCCTGCTCCGGCTTGATGCACTGCTCGATGCCGCTCACGCACCTCGTGAAGCCGCGGAAGCAGTAAAGCTTGCCCCGACCCTCCTTCACGCCGTTGCTCTTGTCTGGCAGCGGTAGAGACGAAGCCGCACAGCTGTTTGCCGAAATGCAGAGCAACAGGACTGCCATGCCGAGCCTCAGCGAAACACGACAGACGCCCGCTTTCCTCCTGCTGAGGGGAGAGGAGGAGGAGGTGGTTGCCATAACTAACCCCATAGTACTCTCCTTGTTTGCGCCCTGAGTACTAGGGCGACGGAACCGACGCGGTTGGTTGGTTGGTTGGCGTTATAAGAAAGCAGGTAGTACGCAGAGGAAGAAGAAGAGGCACGGCTATGGCGGTGAACCACGCACGGCAATTGCATACAGTCCATGAAATGATGAAGGAGGAGTGGACAAGGGAGGAGAGGAAGGTTAAGAGGAGTAAGACGGAAAAATGAAACAGGCAACGTCGATAAGCGTGCGATGTTTGAATGCTTCCCCATCTGCCTTCCCCTTTTTCTATCGAACTTTCACGATTTCGTGCCTCGCTGCACTACTGTCGAAATGTGCAAAACGAGAGTGAATCTTACGCTAGAATATGGAAAGATACACTCCAAGAGTATTGCAGCGAGGCTCGCTTTCTGAAAAGGCGGGGCGATCTATTTTCTTTTCCGTCCTAAAAAGGCGGGGAGAGCCCTTTTTTTTTTTTTTTTTTTTTTTTTTTTGGGACTTCCTTTCGGCTTCCTGAAAGGGCGGGGAGAGACCCTTTCGTTATTGTATCGTAATGACGGGGGGGCCGTGACCCACTAGCAGGGGTTTATTTCATGTTTGGTGTATTTTCCAACGTGGTCACACTAAAGTAGGTCCGTGAGATCTTCAGATCGGATGGCAGGGAGCCATGTACCCTCGAAACCGGAACAAAACCTCGAGAAGTGGAACATGGGCCCGGGGACCAGGTCCCACTAGCAGCGTTGAGTTTCCTCAACGCCCGAATCTGGACGGCGTTCGTGGAGATGTGTGGTTGAGAAAACTCAGAGCGATTTCCGCACATATCCACAGATTCAGGCGTTGAGGAAACTCAACGCTGCTAGTGGGACCAGGCCCCGCGTTGGTTGATCACAGAAACAGTTGCATTTATGTACCATTCACCCATACATGCGGGGGTTAACGCGCACCTCTAAACCCCCGGCGCCCCCTCCCCCCCCTCAACCCCAACCCCACCCCCACCCAACTAGAAAAAACAAAGAGCAACCTCCACTTGACACTTGTACCTTCTGGCAGCTTCGGTGTTACCAATTGACGTTTTGACGTGAAATTTTTCTTTTTGGTTTCTTGTAAAAAGGGAGGGAGTCCCTACCATTATTGGATCCATCGACAAATTAGGGCATCGCCACACCACTCGCGCGAAATGTGCGAAATGAGAATGAGCTTCCCGCTAGAACATAGCCAGATGCACCCGCCACATTTTTGTCTTTTTCACATTTCCAGAGTGGTATGGCGAGGCCCTCGGGAGTCCAGCTCATGACCAGATAATCACAGAGCAGTTGCATGTGTACGTGTGCACCATTTTTTGTCCCGGAGTTCTGATGGCTCCATTCTATTGGTGGGGAGCTGCACCTGCTGGAAAACGGGTCCAGCGTCCCATACATAAGGAAATGTTCATCCCCAGCACAACGCACGCTCATCATAGCTTGTGCATACATTCCACCGAACGCAGTTCTTCGAGGACTTTCCGCAATGAATAGCGGGCTCCACTGCCGTTTTCACTTTTCTTTTCTCTTTTGCAGACTCCGCCTCCCAGCTCTGAATGATTCAACAAACTCCTTGGGAGTATGAGGTCCAGGTATGGTTGCCAAGCATTCCCTAAAAAGGGGCGCAATGCATCAGCCCACAATTCTGGGCCCGATTTGGGGGGGGGGGGGCGCAGGGAGGGTGGACCCGGGGCCGGTCCGGTAGCGCTAATAGTAGCGCTAATTTTGTGCGCTACTGCGCAGCATTAGTAGCGCAGCATTAGCGCTAATCAAGAGTATAGGGTTAGCTCTACCGAGCAAGCCAGGGCACTTGTCGACGCCGTACTTCGTCGTCATCAACAGATTCCAGAAGTTTGTGTCGCCGAGAGGAGAGGTAACCTTGGGGTTCCACGGAGAGGTGGTTGGTGTGGAGTGGTTGAAGCTGGTTGGGCCAGGGGGCCGGGTAAGGGAGGTGAAGGGCAAATTTTATTAGACCAGGAGTGAGATGACGGTCGACGGGATGTCTGTGGACAGTGTGGAGAGATCGTTCGTATACACGGTTGGGAGAACCTGTAGGCGCTTTTCAAGAAAGAGCAGTGGGTATGAGTTCTCTTTGAGAAGTCCAGGACAGGGACGGATAGATTCCTTGCCTTCAGCTTCCACTATGCTTCAAGACATAGTACCGTAAGTTCTATCATCTCACTGGGGATCCTGACCTTCCTATTTATGGAGGCTTACTATCTTTTGGTGTGTTTATTTGAGTGCTTGTGTTCCTTTCTTTATTTGTGTAGTTCTTCGTAGTTAGTCAGGAAGCTCCACCCTGTAGTTTATCAGGATCTCGAAATGGCAACATCATCGCCCAATCAAAACCAGGGTTCACCCTCTTCTCGAATTCAGAACACAGATCCAAAAAAGGAAAGGATTCCTGATAATATTGCAAAATGTTTTTTCAAAGGAGTTATCCCGGCCAACCTCGTTCAAGCGATTAATTTGAAATTGAAATTAACAGGCTCAGTCGAAAGAGGGGAGGATTTTGTCAGAGTCAAAGTCAATAAAGGGATATACCAAATTCAAGAACCAGAGTCAAAGTCGATAAAGGGATATACCAAATTCAAGAAGAATGGTTGCGTCAACATGCAGTTTACATCTTCTTTGGTAATGACGGTTCCTCCTTTAAGTTACCGGGAGAGGTTAAAAGCCGTTTAGCAAGGATTTATGAAGATGGTTGGGCTGGTGGAAGCGAAATCAATGCCTCTCCTAAGAGGGGTCTGCTACATAACGAAGGCTGGAATCTGGTTTCTTATGTGGCTTCCTCAAAGGAAATTGCCGCTTGGATGTTGATAAAAAAACAGTCTAAAGTGGTGTTGGATGGGAAAAAGTATGTCGTCAATTTCCGTCCATGGATGACTAAATTGGAACTTTATGAATGGAGAGAGGCGATGACTTAGAAATTCTTCTGGGTTAGGTGTCAGCATGTTCCCGTAGGAGCAGTATTTCATGTTGCTGCAGCGGTCAAATTGGCCCTTGGCTCAATCTTGAAGACCTATCCAGCATATGCTGACCCGTTACTTCCAGACCTGCGCAATGTTAGGTTTGACCTGGAACCGATAGCCAAAACTCGTTTCAAGAGATGGTGAGTGGTGAACTTAGAAGAAGGAGGCTATGTGGACATTGAAGTAGTCTGTGCATCAACCCCCTGGTGCAGGAAATGCCGAGCCCACCATCACAGCGAAACGGACGCTGAGTGCCCGTCCAACCAGGGCAAACAGCAGGGGCGAAAAGGAGAAGGGAAACCACCTCCACAGAAAGAGGAATCCAAGCCTCCCTCGGAGGGTAAGAAGGTGGAGCAGAAGGGCTATAAGGAGGGGAAGGGTTCTGCTGTGAGGAAGAGTAGCAAATTTCTCCCTATAACCCGGGCCTCTGCTAAGCTACCTCCAGGGTAGAAGTTAAAGAGGAAACCGAAAGCTAATACGAGGATCAAAGGGAAAATGCAGCCGGAATTTGAGTCCACTCGGATACATTTTTCTGTTCCGTTTTCTGTCCTTCCTCAAGATCAGGGAGCAGGGAAACCAAACAGCACGTGGGTTGAAAAGGGCAAGGAAGACTCAAGGAAAGAGGAAAAGGAGAAGATAGTATCAGATGAAGAGAGCAATGGCAAAACCCAAGGGAACGGGAAAGTTGGTCTGGAGATGGTTGTAATGAAGGATGGCGAGGGGGCGCAGAGCGAGGGTCTGAATCAGGAGGATATGATGGGGAACGCTGGAGCTGTGTAAATCCCCATATGTCGTACGGGGCCTCGATCGTACGTCCGTACGGATGATCGTACGCCCGTCCGAATGGGCCCCGTTCGACGTGCAATACAGCGGCCCCGAGTGTAGGGACCGTGGTGGTGGCCGTTCCAGGGCGTAGCGGGCGGGGGGAGGCGGGAGGCTGGTGAAGATTTTTTTTTTTTGTTATTATTTTACGAGGAAAGAAAAAAAAAGCAAAACGAAAAAAAGGCGAATCGCTCGACGACAAATACCCTCGGGCGGGTCCCATTGCCGCCGCATTCACACTGTGCAGTTGCCAATCCACGCGTTGCAACCACAGAGAGAGAGAGAGAGAGAGAGAGAGAGAGAGAGAGAGAGAGAGAGAGAGAGAGAGAGA